CCAAACCAAAGAGAATGTGATTTTGCTTTGGAATCTTCATTTTTTCTGGAAGAAAAAAACCCCAAAAAATAATTTAACAGAAACATAGAATCATATAATGATTTGGGTTGGAAGGGACCTTAAAGATTATCTAGTTCTACTGGGGATCAGAATGTTAATGTTAAATAAATGACCGTGGAGAAACTGATGAACAAGTTTTATTGCTAAACAAATATGAAGGACAGCTGCTGTTAAATAATACAGCAAATATCTACGATTTTTCTATATCTGAAAAAAGTCCAATCACTGACTCAATGGTTGTAAAAAATGTTTGTGAATAGAACATTCCATAAAGGCCTATAACAGAGTTCCCAGCATTTGTTTTAGGACTGTCTGTCCTTAAGTTATTTTGACCTAGGGTTGATCTGAATTTTGAAAGGAAAAGCCATTTTTGAGTAATCCCATTCTAGGTAAGCCACAGTCATATACTCACATTGCTGCCTTATCACATAAAATAGCATTGCTGTGTGATCATATGAGGTGCTGGGCAAACCCAAAATGCTGATGGTGCCTGCTCAGGGGCAGAGGCCAGCACAGGACTGGGGCTGCCTTGATGAAACCCTCCAATATTGTGCTCTGTTTCTGCACTTTCTCATGCTGATCAGCAGTCTGGTGACTGAAATAATTCATCTTTAAAGCATAATGCCCTGAGAACAAGCCCTCTGCACTTTCCTGACCTACCAAGTTGTATGAGAGGGTTGGGAAGGTAGATGGAGTTGTTCCTCCTCCCTGCCCTGATCAAGGAGATCCTGAGAACAGCTCCAGCAAATCCACATTTTCCTGCTCTTAGCCAGTGCGTGACCTCTTCAGTGAAAACATACAACACATTATGTAGCTGCTATTAGTAACAGCACTGTAGCCCAGAAACTAAAAAGGTCAGATTAATATTAATTATCTTATAGGTATCAAGTTATATGCCATATATATTCCTAGTAAAGGTCAATATGGCCTTCCCTTATTTTATATCCATCTGCTTCATTAGGTAAGGAAAAGTAAGCTAGATATAATGGATTTTTTGGTAGTTTTAATCAACAATTTCATCAAAAGCACATTTTTTACCTGTGCTAACAACATAATGGAAAACTAGATCAATACATTAATTATACCCACTGCTTTCTAAACTCTATTTTTAAATGAATTATGGTAAGTGTTGTAGAAATAGGAAAGAAAAAACCTATACCAAAAGACATTCACTTTCAATGTCAGGCAAATAGTGTTAAAAATATGTCTACCTATTTTTATTTTTCTAATACTTTCATTATTGTTCCACATAAAAGATCAGAAATTAGGAAGCCTTTAATTGTAATGTCCATTCAATGGCAAACAAGAAGCAGAACTGATTTTGATAGCACATTACACAGAGCGGGGTGAAGTAACAGCAGACTGCTAATGGCAGAAATGGCAATTGCCATATTAATCTGGGGAAAATCCAAAATATTTACTTGTGGGACCTCCTCCTTAGACCACTATGGTGAGGATAAATATCCTCATCATCTCCATCCACCTGAGGTTCTGTGACCAAAACAAAACGAGAGGTCAGAGCTGTAGGGAAGCATCTCAGGAGCCAGGATATTTTTTTTTTAGAAAGTCTGTTTCCATACTGAAAGGCCTATTTGTCTCCCAAGGTGTTGAGTTCTTATGTGTCCCCCAGGACATGGAATTCTTATAAGCCTAGAAAGTAAAAAAAAGCTACAAATCAGTTGAAATTCCTCTGCAGACCTTAGAGGGATTTGAAAAACATTTGTTCTCCAGAGAAAGTAGGAGCTGCAGCTCTCCCCAGTTATCCAACTTCAATAACTCACTATCCACACCTGGAGCTCATCAGACATCTTATATGTGCTCCATTGTACAACAGTACACCATTGTACAACAGTGCAGAGGACAGTGCAGAGAACAAGCAGGCACCATTTTGGGCCAGAAACCTCTACACAACACAACTAATTTACACAGCACAAATCCACAAGCAGCTCTGCCCTGGGGACAGAGCTTATTAATTTGGATGCAAACCTGCAGAAGTGTGGCTGTACAGATTCAGATCCAGCTCATGGAGAAGGAGGAGGGTCTTTCCGTTCTGGCTTCAGTGACTCCTGTTCCATAGTCAGCTGTGACATTTTTAACCTGCAATCTAAGTCAGCTTTATACATGTACAGTAATTACTCAGCATCTGTTCCAGTTTCCTTATCCCAAAAGACAATTCTTTCATCTGCTTGTTTTCCAGCTCTGGGCAATATTGACAAGACTGAAGACAGAGCAAGGAACTAGCTATCAACTACTTTTAAGCTAGCAACTCTTCCGCACCAAGGTCTATTCAGCATCATGCTGCACTACTGCTCCCATTTCCTCTCTTCATTCTCCCTGAAACAACACCTCTTTAACACTTATTTCCTAATTTGTTCATATATTTTAAGTATCCACTTAAAAAGGAGAGCTGAGTCCTACATTATTTTCTTCTTCTTCTTGCAGGTTAATTCCCAAAGTCATCTTGCTTCCATGCATTCCCTGAAGCTTCCTGATGCACAAGCCTACACCATTTAGGGAGCTTTAATTACACAGCCTGCTATCACATCCTCTGACCCACAGGACAGGTCAAATTTAAAAACATCTGGGACTAGATTCTTCACTGGTTGTAGGGAAAGGGGAAAATTCTAATCTTCTGACTGAGAAGTGAAGGGAGACCTCTACAAATACTAAACAAATGTCTGAGTGGAATGAATTAAATCTGTTTCTTCATGAATTTGAGGTGCATAAAAGCATGACCTTGGACTGAAGCTTTTCTGTATAGCTGTGTTATTTACTGCAGCTCACCTCTGTGGATTCCCTGGAGCCTCATAAGATGTAAGTTCATGCTGCAGCTTTCCCTCAGCTGGGCAACATCAACATTTTTTGTTAATCTATCTGGCCCCATATTTTTAGGAAATTTGTTAGGACCCACATAGTTTGAAAATTCTGTCATTTCATCACACTTGGTTGGAAAAGGCCACTAGATTCAAAAATTATTAGGGGGTACACAAGGACAGATACATGCACAGAGACAGCCTGATCACAGATGCCTTGTTTCCATAGGAAACCAAACTAAAAATAGACAGTTTCTTAAGTGTTAAAGATGGAATTTTTATTTGTTTTTGCAGTTGGGAACCAAACAGACCCACTATTCACATGGCTGTAGCACATGAGAAATATGAAAGAAAAGTAATCTTAGTTTTTTTCTGATAGAAACCTCAATAAGTGTAATTCAGTGACCAGTGACCCAACAGCCAATTGTCCAAAGGCTGAAATACACTGGGCTGGATGAAAGGCTGCCTATGGGACAGTAACTATGAGCTTTTTTCTCTTTTAGCACTATCACTAAAATAATTTGTTGTTTGCTACCAATGCAACACACAATGACAAAGAATCTGTGTAAATCTCATTGTTATGATTGATCTGTGCACAACTAAGGTTTCTGTTTGGTTTTTCATTCATCAAAAAATGATAAAACAGATGTTAGTGACTCATTTTTTCCCCCATCTAAGTATCAACCTCAACGTGGCATGTGGCAGCAAATGATAGTCAAGCATACCACGAGTGAGAAAGCACAGCTTTATTTATAATCAGAATAATATGGTCACTATAGCCTGCATATGAGCTGTGCAAGGCAACCTTTGCCTGCATCCTCATAGAAGCAGACATCTTACATACAGATGTCTTTAGTATATTTGAGGTGTTTAAGCTGAGTCCCTCAGGGATATTATATAAAGATGTCTATAGGAGAGAGGTGAGCCTCTTGAGCAATGGATAAGAGAGATGGAGAGAGTGACTGACAACTCAGACTATCTGTGTATCATCCAGCTAAACACGTAGGGATCATAGGACCACAAGAACTATATAAATACAGATAATCTGAGAACACCAAAGGATCTTGAAACAGAAGGCTATTTTTAAGGTGTAGTAATAACAAGGAAAGAACTTCCATGGCATTCTCTATGGCAGAATGTGAGATTGTGGTGTGAAAACAACCTTTTAAACCCACTTTTCTTGAGATGGAAGCTGCAGGTAGATCAGGCTGGTTGTGCCTATTGCTACCACCACACCCCAGGTGAGATCTAGCAGTCAATAGCTTAAGAGGCTGAGCACATCATTTTAGCTGTATAGATGTGGATGCCTGGGCCATTGCCAGCAAATAGTGGATACAGCTGCAGATTTCCCTGGAAGCAGTGCCATGGCATTAATTTATTTGTCTTCATGCAACAACAGACAGCCATGTAAACTGGTGTGGAAGTCTGTGCCTCAAACCCCTGTGCAACCCAGCTGCTGTTGGGCCTCAGCTTTACTGTGAGCTCTTTCTACTGCCTACTTCAGAAACATAAAATCGTGGAGTCATTGAGATAGGAAAAGCACTCTCAGACAATCACATCCAAATGTGCCCTCAGCAATGCTGAGGCCACCACTAAACCACGTCCCCGAGTGCCACATCCATACCTTGTTTAAATCCATCCAGGGATGGGGACTCCACTGCTGCTCTGGGCAGCCTGTGCCACAGCTGGACACTTCCCATGAAGAAATTTCCTCTAATATCCAACATAAACCTTACCTGGTGCAACTTGAGGCCATTATGTCTTGCAGGAATAACTAATAACCTTGTGGTTAGTAGCGTGCTCAGAGCCCCCGCATGCAGCTGGCAGGCTACAGTGAGGTAGGTTACTGTGAGGGCAGCCATGTTACCACAAGGTTCCTCATCTTCCCGCCAAAATGTTCCCCATCTTCCTGCCACTTTTGCTTTAGGAAACAGAGACATGTTCTGGAGAAAGACAGGGGGAATGTGGAGTAGGTGCGAGACCCGAGGTGAGGGGTGAGCAGGGAGCTGGGGATGGGTGTTTGTGCTGACCAGTGAGGCGGGAGGGAGGGACAGGAGCCCGTGAGGGAGCGCAGCCAAGGCAGCCGCCATGATGGCGGTCTGAGGGAGGGAGCCGGCCGCTGTCCATGAACGAGTTAAAAGTCACGTCTGAAAACTTTTTCCACACCGCAGCTTGGATGCTGGGTAGAGAAAAGGTTAGGAAGTGCTAGCTTAAATCCAGGATGGAGTTTTTCAAGGATAGGTTGTTACACACAGATTGATGCCACACTGTTGTCAACATGCCAGGGGTAGTTTTAGCTGTCAGCTCTGTCAGAGTCTGCCAACCAACTTTAACTTGTTTTCTGACTTTTCCAAATGTTTTCCAAGTTTTTGCTTGCTGTGCTGAGGATAAATTGTCCCTCAGTTTCTGCAAAACCACATTTGTTTACTTGTTTCCTTTTCATCTCCGTTTCTTTTGGTGGTTTTCCCTTTTTAGGGAAAAAAAAAGCACAAAGCTTGCACCTTTGCCCAGCCATAATATAAACACAGTTCACCGAAGCTGCCTCATAAAACCTAAGATTTTGCTCATCCACATTTGTACAATGCACACTTGCCTCCCCCGTGGGCTGGGATGTGCTCCACCACAGCCTGACCAAGGTGAGGGATTGGGCAGCACATTCCAGAATAAACTCAGGAATAAACTGTCTCCTTAGCTTTTTTCTGTGTTTTCCTACAGGTGAAGACTTCTTTCTTCTGGAATGAAAGATTTTGAGGAAAAATTTTCTCTTTTGGTCAGAATTGTTTGACCACATGTGCAAGGGATTGGAGCAGGTAAGCCACAACCCTTTCCCCCTTTCCCAGAGCCTCACTGGACTGATAGCAAATAACTCCATTTGGGAAAACAAATATCTCATTACAAACACAGTAATTACAGTGAAATAACATTTAAGGAATGTTAAAAGGACTGGGGACTTCAAAGATTGAAACATTAGAAAGCTGAAATTAAGACTGCACAAATTCTATGTATGCATTATGCTACGTTTACTCGACTGTGTGGGTTCTTATTCACATATAAGATAGATGGGACAGAAAAACTTCTGTTTTTCCTCACAGTTCAATGTGTGGTCCCAGGCCTTGTTTACTGCCCTGAGTTATTAATTTCCTCTTCAGCTTTTTACAGCACTTTTTACAGTTACATTTACGTATGTTACAAGCAAGATTTAATTTATTTTTGTTATACCACCAGAAGGTGAAGGGAAATGATGTACAGAAAGCAGGAAAAAAAATCCTTATTTTATAATTATTTTAGAATACTTATCACTAGATCCTCACATTAATATATTAATTCAGGGCTAACTATGTATAATATGTTCTTATGACTATTAATTTTAAAAATGCAGCAAAGTAAAAATCTGCAGCAGTTAGATCTGTGCCACCTGAGTGGCACTGGTGAGTTGCTAAATTCAATATTTTTTTTCCTTGTAATCCACTGACTTCACAGTAATAATATGTATAAAAGAGAATATTTGATTCAGGCTACTTTCTATTTTCAGTGTATCTAAAAAAAAAAATCCATCTTTTCAATATACTTATAGTTGATACTTCTTTTTTACTGATAGTTGAGTTTACTATAAATGTTTATGGGAATACCAAGTTAAACTTTATGTGTTCCTGGCATGGCCCTTTATGTCCTCACCTTCAGCTGGTTCAGCACTTCAGTGCTTCTAACTCTGGAGTATCAGTTTGGGCTCTCTGAAAATGAGATAACATATAAGTGACCATACATCACTGACTACATGATTTGCCTATCACCACATGATGACTTCAGTAATCGCACTTAAGAGTCCAGACCTCAGCTGTAAGTGGATTTAACTTTCCTATAACTCCTAAGAATCTTTACCTCATTTATTAGCTCTAGTTTCTTAATATGTGGCGATTCAGATCAGTCTACTTCACTATTTAACTCTGGTTCATCCTAGCATAGGTCAGAACTATGCAAGGAATAAGACAAGAGACTTGTAGAAAAAATAGCACACAATTATGTTATTAAAGATATAATGCATCTGAACAGAGAGAATTCAATTTCAGCTGAAGGAATAACATCGATTCTGTAATCTCTTTTCCCATAAGTCCTTGGCATTAAAAGATGTATAATTTCAGTACAGTCCCTGCCTGTCATCTTTCTAGAAGGATCATAAATAAAATTGAAAATAGATCTTCCATCACACTGACATCCCTATGGGTCACTCCTCAGTCTGGGATCTTTTGCACCATAGCTTGGACCTCTCTACCTGAGCTGGCAGAGCAGTTAACAGCAGCTTCTATACATGCTGTCCCCATTGGCTTCCAGTTGCAGGTTTCTCCACTTATACCCTTTCCATAGCAAGCTCCAGTCCTTTTTCCCCTTGCTAATTTGTCAGACCTACTTTTTTTATAACCTGTGAGCGTCTCTGGGACAGTATTTGTTCAGTGAAAGGATACAGAAAAGACCTATGAAAGTCTGCTGAAACCTTTCTCTCTACCAAACTACAGAAAGTTAGTCCTGTCCTCTCAGGTGTGTCCTGGAAAATTAATCAAGATGAATTTTGATAATGGATTAGCGTAAATGTAGTGATGGAGGGTAGAGGGTAGAGGGTAGAGGGTAGAGGGTAGAGGGTAGAGGGTAGAGGTTCCAGCACAGATTTGAGGATTAAGTTGGTGAGCGTGAGCTGCTCTGCAGTAACTGCATGTGTGCTAGTTGCTCCATTGTAAATTAAATATAACATAGCCCTCTGTAGAATAAACTATTTCACATTTACCTCTATAAACTTGCTTTCATGCTGGCAGTAATTATGGTTTATGTGCTGCAAATTCACATTCAAGCTTAGGTCACTGTCATTTATTTCTAGACCTGTGTGAGAATGAAGTGGCCCTACTTCATGTGAGTTTCACTTTGCAGCAAGGTCACTTGTTGTTCTGCAACCACCAAGTGTTTTGTGAAGGGCAACAGATTCACTATGAATTCACATTTCTATTTAACTTAGAATTTCATACATATCACCAAATAAACAAACACTTTTCCACCTCTTTCAGAGTCATCATCCCGGTCTTTGTGGTAAGTCCAAGGCAGAACTATCAGGGTTTTCTCACTCCAAGTCATATAAAGCATAACAGTAAAACATGCAAGGGGAGGTTGTACATGATATATCACAAAATGTGGTTTGGCACCCAGCACAGTAACAGTTTAGGGAACAGGCTGTTCTTTAAATAATATGCTTTTGTTTTCATGTTTTAATTCTTCATGCTGCTGATTTAGAGCAAAGGTTTTTTTCTTAAAAAAAGAAGAAAAAGTAGATCCTTATCTAATGCATCAAAACAGAAAAGTATGTGGTTTCTTTGTCAAACATTTCAATAAAGGATTCAACTTTCTCAAGGGGCTCTTGTAGAATTCACATTGGAATAGGATTCTGGGTGGGTGTTTTTCATTTTAACCAGAGGCTGAGTTTTCAATTGTTGATGCATGCAGATATACATGCACAAATTCACATGCCTGACTTGAAAAATCTGATCTTAAACACACAGCAAGTGAGTGAATGGTGTGGGGGACTGAAGAAAACTTCATTGTTCACCTAAAAATATCAAAAGAACCATGACCTGAGAGGTGCCTGTCACCAGACTTTAGCAGAGGTCAAGGGTGTGATGTAATTGTCACCTTTGGAATTTGGTAGTGTGTTATGTCACTAAACACAGACCCAGCAGTTAATCCTTAAAAATTATTAGAGGTTCAAAGCTGTACTTCATTATGACTGTTTTTGTTTCTCTCCCCCTTTTTAGAAGGAAGTTTATTTTCTGTCTTACTGGGTGTTTATTCTGAAGACATTGTAGAGCAACTCCTGACTTAAATTTTAAGTCTGCAATAGTATTACAGGTAACAGAGGAGTTTAATGTGTTGTGAGAGGAGTTGTTTGATAATGCCACTACCATGAGCTTTCCTGTATTTGCAATACACAGCAAAAAATAGCTCAGTGATCAATTTTTCAATACCGTCGCAAAAGAAATACTAAAAAAAAAATGTGCTCTGCATCATCTCTGAATTTAACATTCAAATGTAAATTAATTCATTTTCCCCCCTATCTGTATCACTTAAAATTTCTCAGGAGTCTTCTCTTACAGGTTTAGGTAAAATTTTTAAAGACAGCCAGTTCTGAGGGGAAATTCTAAAGTATTCATAACCAAAAAAAGACAGATTTCCTGAAATCAGAAGTTTTTATTTTGAATAGGACCAGAAAAAAAATTACTTGCCATCTATATTTTTGGCATATTTTTTCCAAATTATTGACCAAATCTGTTCTAAAAGAGGAAAAAAAAATTCTTCAAAACTGTCTACAAAAGCCCACCTGATTATATTTTTCCCATTCCACTTATGATGAAAAATAATATAGAACAAATTTTGACTTCTTTCTTTAATAACAGACAATTAATAGAGAAAAGGCAAAAGTAAAATGTATTTTCACAAGATGGAGCCTTTGAGAGCAAGTTCTCATCTGTCTTTGTGGAAATAACTTATTATTCACTAAAATGTGGTGATAAATAACCAAGGTATCTGGTCTTCAGCAGTACCTGGAATATTATTGGGTGAACCTACAAATATGGGGCTTGCAGCAAGGACTAAAGGGGAAACACGTGGGAAAATTCCTTATTTGGTGGACTAAAAGCAGTGAACAGCCACCCAGATTGTTAAACCAAGTGTAGACTGAACATGAATAGAGTGGAAATGTTAAAATGCTAAAAACCACTTGGGCTAAACTGTGTCAGTTTCAATGTGAGCTCTCTCCTTCTGAAGCCCCTCTTGTTGATAAGCCCTGCTTATAAACCTCTATCACAATAATGCTGATCACTGTAAGTGTCGAGGCACAGGGTGAAATCCTGGCTCTGCTGGCATCATTAACAGTTCTGCCTTTGATCTGAACCAGGCTGGGTTCAGCCCAAATGAAAGCAGTGGCCTTGCTGACAAATGACCAGTGGTCAAAGGGAGGCCCAGTCATTGAGTTCATCAGTCCCATGCATTATATTCAACAAAGGTCAATAAGATGGAAGGTCTTAGATTTAGATCACTCACGAGATAAGCATGCCAGGCTGAAATAAGACTCCAGAGAAATCAAGGGACAGCATTATTTGGATATTTGCTGTATGGCTTGTTGGCGAATTTTAAAAATGTACTTTATCCATATTCAAATCCAGTATAAATCAACGTAGAAGAATATGATCTCTGTGGGAAGAAGGCACAGAAACAATATCTGTGCACCTGCCCACAGATCCATGAAAGCATTTTCAAAACAGGCATTTTGGAAAGAGGCAGCTACTGCTAATCTATTATTGTTTCCATGCAGATATTTATATAAATCCACTTCTTGTAAAATGGCACATACCCTGCTTAGCTTTGCATTTAGGCAGAAGAAGCACAACTTCAGCCTATGTAAATAAAATTTGAAACTGAGTTGGCTTAGGAATCTGGGCTTCACAGATGATTGCTTCAATACATACAACTATGTAAGAATTATCTATTAATTATAAAATCATTAGATTAGAAGGATAGTAACTTTTTTTACTGGCTTTTAAACATTTTATGCTTGATTGTATTTCCTTTAGGAAAATCTAAAAATGCAGTCTGAATAGTAGCCAAAACCCCATCCTATCCATCAACTGTACCTGTTAATTTAAGACACAATCACTTGAACACGGTGGGATAACGCACGCTGTAACGCCGTGTGTGCCAGTGCACACACGTGTGTTTATCCCTACATGCCTTCTTTAATTTTCTTCCTGAGACCAGCACGCTTTGGAATGATATT